TACTTACTAAAGTAGTCATCCTGACTATAGCCTTAAACTCACGCGATCAGCTGCATTTCCCACCTTCCCCACCACACCATCGTCTCCTCCAGGATCAAGACCACTTTTTATTTATCTCATTACCAAATACATAGGAAGTACCCAAAATTGTCTGTGGAACTGAACTGACCATAAGGAAAATGCCAAAATATAGTCATTTATCAGAACAGTTAAGGAACTTTTAAAGCATTTAAAGATTTTGAATAGAATAATCAGTTACCTGTGTATTTATTTCATCTAGTGGTAAATTGGTAAAAAGTGGTAAATTTCATGATGATCTACCTCAACTGGCTGGACCAAGCTGAAAGTTTATATTTCTGCCTTTGACTAGAGCATATATTAATGAGATTCTTAAAAGCAGAGATAAAAAGTAGAAGAATAAAATCTATAATTGAAAATCAATGTTATTAAAGGGGAAGGGCCATCCTCCCTCCTGCACCTAATAAAGAATTTATTAGGGACTAAGCATGGTTCTTGAACTACACCTAAATGTACTTGGATTTTTGCCATCAAGGAGTTAGACTGAAGCACACGCTTCAGGCCTGTGATACTTTCACTGGTATCCTCAAACCTGTGGCAGTAATGAATCTATGAGGAATACACCAATCACCAAGGAAATATTTTCATGGTCAAACCTAGTCCCGTAAATAAACAAACCCTCCCCCACCCCAAAAATGGTGCTTAGTTTTCATAGTATATCTGTACTCACATGCATCTCAAAAAAATTGATGGTTTAATTTCAAATGGTATAGTAAGAAATAGTATAGTAAGAAAGCAATATTACAAAGAATGCAGGGAAAATTGAAATGTCAATGTACACTTGAATAAAACATTAAGATTGTTTCTTGCTTGAACAAACGGGGGGAATCAAACAACTCTGGGGGAAAACAGCATGCTATGGAAGGCAACCTGCTGGAGGAACTTCTAAGCCAAACATACAGCGAGCTTCAAAGAATTTATTACTATGTGTTTTCCCAAGCTGTCAAGAATCTCAAAAGAACACTTTAAGTATGTATGGTGCTAGTGGAGAGAAATTTGCTATATCCAACCAAATAAAAATCATTTGTGCTGTTTTGGGTTTCTTTTTTTTTTTTTTTTCAAAATGACTGACTTTTAGACATGGGAAGGAAGAATGTTAGTACTCAGACTCTTGGTTCCAAGAGGGCAAGAAGGGATGGATTTGTTGAAAAGGAAATACGCTATCAGGAGATGTGGGACGTTGGCAGTGGTGAGACACTTCACCTGCACAACAGTCTGGGACTGGCAACATTAGTCAGTTACAGTTTCCCAGAGCTGGCCAAGGGGAGAGCCACCCTGAAGGCTTGGATTCAAAATGCTAAGTGATGCTTTTATAGTTAACTGCGGACTAAGTACTTTGTATTTTTGTATTGCACTCTGAGAAAAACAGACACTGTTTCTGTACATTAATCTTGCAGCATCAGTCTGTTGTGTTTTTTCCTATTTAATAAAGGCACGCACTGTTTCCTGATACTAGGCACCGGACTCTGGACTTTACAAATATGAGCGCACTGAATCCTCAGAACATCCCTACGATGTGAGTTTGTTAGGATCCTCATTTTCAAAAGGACAAAAGTGAGATTCAGAGGGCTATGTAAGTTGCCCAAGGCCACACAGCTCCTAAGTGGCAGGAGTCAGTACTGGGATTCAGGCAGTTTGGTTTCGAGCCTAACCCTCCTTCGTGCTACCCGTGTATGCTCAGAGCCAGGCACAGGATAGGTGAGCAAAACACAGTTCATGGATGTTGAGAAATGATCGTCTTGGGCATTCACTTTGACACTCATTATTTTTTTAAAAAACTGATTGCACTTACAGATTCTTGAAAAATTTAAGTCTCAAATCTATGTATCAAATGACAGAAACAAATTACTCCAAATGGCTTTATTTTTATTTCTCTGACCCTTTTCCCTCAATAACTGTAATCACGTCTTCTCTCTTTACAGGATAGCTCTAATTTCATGCATGGCATGATTAGATCTGGTCATTAATAGAAAAATAAAATTATAACTTCTCAATTGATTGTTGACATGTACAGCATTTATTTCCTATACCTTCTAAGACTTATTTCCTGTGGCCTTTTCTTCACCTTCCATGCCTCATCCCTTTCCCTCCCTGACCCCTTCACTGACTTCAGACTGTCCCTTGGCTCCCTGAGTCTCAACTGCTGCGCCCCAGCACTGTTTCTTGAGACTGTACATTTAGAGCAAGTTTAGGTGCCATTGAGAGAAAGGTACAAAGATTTACCAAATACCCGCTACCCTCACACATGCATACCCCTCATGATCAACATCACTCACCAAAATGTATTGTTTTAAGCAAAAGTGAATCTAAATTGATACATGATATTTACCCAAAGTCTGTAATTTTAGATACAATGCCCAAAGTGCAAGCAACAAAAGTAATAAACACCAAGTGGAACTATATTAAACTCAGAAGCCACTTCACAGAAAAGGAAACAACAAACAAAATGAAAAGGCAACCCATATAATGAGAGAAAATAGTTTCAAACTGTGTATCAGATAAGAGGGTAATATCCAAAATATATAAGGAACTCACACAATTCAATAGCAAAGAAACAGCCCAATCTAAAAAACGGGAAAAGGACCTAAAAAGACATTTCTGAAAAGAAGACATAAAAATGGTAAACAAGTGCTTGAAAAGATGCTCAGCATCATTAATCATCAAGGAAATTAAAATCAAAAGCACAACGAGACATCACCTCACACCTGTTAGAATGGCTATTCTCAAAAAGACAAAAAGGTTAATGTTGGAGAAGATGTGGTGGTAAGCGAGTCCTTGTACACTGCTGGTCGTCACGTAAATTGGTACGGCCATTATAAAAACAGCACGGAGTTCCCCCCACAAAAAAATTAAAAACAGAAACAATGCAATCCTGCAATCCCATTCTTTGTAGACATCTAAAGAAATGAAAACAGGGTATATCTGCATTTCCATGTTTATTGCATCACTATTCGCAATAGCCAAAACATGGAAACAACCTAAGTGTTTATCCATGGATAATGGAGATAGAAGATATGATATGATATGATATATGATATGATATGATATACACACACACACACACACACATACATATACATACTATTATTAAGTCTTAAAAAGAAGGAAATCCCGCCACTTGTGACAACATGAATGAACCCGAAAGACATCACATTAAGTAAAATAAGCCAAACAAACTGTCATCTAAAATAGTCAAACTCATAGAAGACGAGAGTAGAATGTTGGTTATAATGGGCAGGTATAGGGAAAATGAAGAGATATTTGTCAAAGGGTACAAAGTTTCAGGTACACAAGATGAGTAAGTCTTGGAGATGTAATGTACGGCATGGTGACTGTAGTCAATCGTAATGTATTGCACACTTGAACTTTGCTAGAAAATAGATACTAAGTATTCTTACAACAAACACACAAAGCTAGTGAGATGATGGATATGCTGATTAGCTTCACTGTGATCATTTCAAAATATATACATACATCAAAACATCAAGATGTACACTTTCAACATACACAAATTTCATTTGTCAATTACACCTCAATAAAGCTAAAAAAAACCCTAATACAACAGTCCATATGGGATAACAGAAATTATATTGCCCTCATAGACCTAATACAGGATTCAGAGGTGGTAGTCCCATTTTATCCTTATTTAATTCTTGAGTTTTGTCTTCAAAAAAACAAATAGATCCTTATAGCACAGGGAAACATATACAAGATCTTGTGGTAGCTCACAGCGAAAAAAAATGTAACAATGAATATATGTATGTTATGTATAACTGAAGAATTGTGCTCTACACTGGAATTTGACACAACATTGTAAAATGACTATAACTCAATAAAAATTATTTAAAAAACAAAACAAACAAACAAAAACAAGTAGATCCTGGAGGATTGGAATTGACTACTACAAAGTCAACCAAGAAGTAGCCCTAATTATAGCTGCTGCTCCAAATGTAGTATTTTTTTTTCCTAAAGCAGATTAAAAAGGTATTATGTACATGGTATGTGGCCACTGAGTGGTGAATGCATTTTCCATTCCTATCAAGACAGATTAGAAACATGACCCATTCATGTGTAATCAACAACTCTGTCTCTCTCTCTCTCTCTCTCTCTCTCTCTCTCTATATATATATATATATATGTATATATATATATATATACTTTTTGTGTTCTTATCTCATTTTTTATCCTTGTCTGTCTTCATTGGTTTTATCCATGCTCATTTTTCTTGAATCTGAGAACATTCTAGGTTTTCCTGACTTCAATCCACAGTGCTACATAATTCGGTTTTAGTTGGTTCCTTTGGAATTTTTCTCCTTCGGATGTTTAATCTTGACCATCCGAAATCTAAAACTCGTTTTTAGCCACAATTCTAATCAACCAGGTCTGATTCTCATGTGGAGTATCCAGAGATCCAGAAAGATACTGAACTTTAATTTTCACCATCTGATAGTCGAAATATTATACATAAGCAAAAGACTTTAAGTGAGACTTGCTGATTGTGATGGAATTAACCCCTTGATGACCTTAGCATTACCCGTGAGATAAACAGCATAAGCACACATTCTTCACTTGATTTTAAAGGCCCTTCATGATCTATCCTCTGTGCTCCCTTTCCATTATCTGAAAATGACCCTCCTTCCTCATTAAGTAATCACACTGGCTTAGTCTCAGGAATTAAATATACAACACACCACCAGCCAGTGGGCAGTATGTTGTGGAAGACATCCCTCATTATATCTGTTTAAACACACTTCAAGTTCAATGTTAACAGTGTAACTTTTATTTTTAAAAGATGTATTATCTTGAATATTTCAGAAGTCACCTAAGATATTTAGATTTAAATACCTGGAAGAGATATAATACTTTTTTTTATAATAACGATACCTTGTTGCTTATGGAAAAAGCAAATATTCATTTCTTACCACGGGTTCACAAGAAGGTATGTGCATCACAGACACTACAGAGTCTCTGAGCTCTTCACTGAAAGCAAAGCTGTGGAAATTTCGAGGTATGAAAGAAGCTGTTGGCTCATTTTCTTCAATCAGATTTTTATACATCTGTGTTAGAGGTCGAGCTACGCCTTTCAGGATTACATAAAATCCATCATTTCCAACCACTGAAACAAAACGAAGCCAAACGAGATAAACTGTAGTGGGTACACTGTATATTTATTTCCCAGACCCTTTGATATGAATATGACTACAATGCATATACAATTGCCTCGCTTTTACCAAATTTCTTTTAGTTGATACAATGACAGGGACTTTAATGCAACACTTAGGCATCACAAATAACTTATAGATAATTTACTCAAATAACAAAAACGATAAAGACATATCTGCACATTTCAACTGTGTTTTCTGACAATTATTTACAGTAATCAATCCTCTAATAAATTCTAGAAAAGAACCATGGTGGCATATCATGATTAATAGATCTAAGACATCATTAGAAAAACAGGACCAGAATAGTCCTCGAGCTTTTCAAAATGTTTACCTCCCCCTCAAAAATGCCATTCTGCCTGTTTTATATAAGTAGCAATATATACCCTACTATTAATTGTCACTTAGCTTTGCTCTGGACAGGATAACGATCACTCATAGAACTGAGTAAAGAATATAGTATGGAAAGGGAAATTGATCATTACTAGGAAAAAGGGTTTTTTTTTCCCCGTATTTCTCCTCCTCCATATTATAACTCTCCACAATTGGTTATCTAATCCCAATTCCTAAAGTTCAACTATGTGCCTGTAGGTCTGGCAGGTTTACACACTTGTGAGCATTTTGAATACAACATTTTAGTTTGAATGCATCCGTTTTAGTTCTGAAGCCTGGCATTTTGAAGACGCAGGGCATGAGAACCGGATAGAGTCTCTCCACTTCTCAATCTTTTACATCACTTCATAGGATTGGAGCTAATTATTCAGATGCTATGAGAAGATCTTTTCTTACACTTTGCTTATTAACTCACTGTGAATAGAAACTTTGTGAACTGATTTTAATGGACAGTTGTGTTTCTTTTTATGCCCTACGACATACTGATTGCTTGCTTTCCTTGCCTTTTTTCCTAAAATGAGTCCTTATTAGTGGGGCACTTTTGGTCACCATCTGTACATGGTGACTACAGGAGAATGACTTTTATAAAAATATTTTCTCAGCTTAGACTGAACTTAAAATAGATTCTTCCTGGGTAGTGCAATATCATTTCTTATTGAACATCTAATCTGTGCAGCAAGGGCATAGCAGAAACACTGCTTTTTAATGGCTATCATATGAGCTGTATGAGAACTATATTGTAGTATGTACACTGTAAAGTTAGAAGGGAATTAACATTTTGTAAAACTAGTAATGGTTTTGACCAATTACACAGAGGAAGAATGCAGTTGGGGGAAAGGCATGTTCCAAAATATACATTTATATTCTGTTTTTTAATAGAGCGACTGCCACTTCTTAGTATAGAATAAAAGCTATGAAAAGAAATCCACTGTGTGAAATAACTTTATTGCCAGGGCTCCTATCTGCCTACCCCATATAAACCCTCTCCTTTTCCTTTCCCACAATTTTACCAGATGTTGCATGTGCCAGTTTTAAAATTGCATTTCCCAGACACTCTCTCATATGGCCACGTGACATCATTTTGATTAATAAAACATTGGGAGTGTTCGTGCTTTATGCATGTGCACACCACCCTTTCTTCCTTGCTACCTAGAACAGAGGAATGATATTGGAGCTCGGGCAAGCATCTTGTAACTAAAAGGAAGAGACACGTAGAATCTCAGAGACCTCACCCCACACCTTTAAGCCGCCTGTCTTGCTGTCTTGTGACTTCTCATTACATAACACAAATAAACCTGAATTATTTTGTACACTAGTGTCCTCTAGTTCAGTCTTACAATATTATATGTTTCAGGTATACAACATAGTCATTAAAGGTTATATTCCATTTCTAGTTACTATAGAATTTTGGCTACATTCCCTGTGCCGTACTATATATCCCTGTACTTTATTTATTTTACACATAGTAGTTTGTACCTCTTAATCCCCTACCGCTACTTTGCCCCCCTTTCCCTTTCCCCACTGGTAGCCACTTGTTTGTTCTCTATATGTGAGTCTGTTTCTTTTTTGTTATATTCATTAGTTTGTTTTATTTTTTAGATTCCAGATACAAGTGATAATCATATAATATTTGACTTTCTCTGACTTAACATAATA